CTGACTGCCTCTGCCAACCAGTCCCCACCTCCTCCACCCATAATTCAGCAACCTTCCGAAAGCCCCGCCTATGAGGCTCTTGGGGGACATCTAGCTTTAAATCATAACAGCCACCATCTTCCTTTCAACTCAAAAATTTACCTCTAGGTAGGATGTAGCTCCATGGTACAGCGGCTGCTTAGCATGTGCAAGGCCCCCATGGTGCAATCCTCATCACAACACAGAAACAAACCAAAATCCTCAAGACTTGGACTTCTCAGGATTCTATCAAATTCAACATATTCTAAAGCTGAATCTACGCTCTCCCTCGAAAGACAAAACATTGATTTCCTCCTTGCGCCATATACATATCAATAATACCATAATCTATCAAGACCCCTCTGAAACTCTAGGAATCACTCACCTTTTCACTTTCTTTTACCTCTTCACATGTGCTCTTAAGTACAACCTACTCACCTGTATTAATGTCTATCAAGCCATCATCTCCTATTCCTCCCAGCTCTTGCCCTTATGAATTTCTATTCCATGTCTACCAAACCCTAGAACTGGTCTTTCTACAACATTTCTCCGCTCAAAACCTTTCTCACTGGAACCCACAGAAAAAAGCCCAAAAGTCTTAGCATGGCCATGATCTGGCACTCACCTAACACCTACAGCCTCCTACCCTGCTACTTCCCCATATTCTTTAAGTCTCTGCCAAAACATATTTTAAAAAATTAGTACATATTTGCAGTACATAATATTGACATTCCTTGTGTGCAATTGGTGCATGTACATAACACATCTCAATTCCTTTTTTCATCCCCTTTCCCTCCCTTCTCTTCTCCTGCCATCTCTTGATCCCCTTAGCATTTAAGAAAGATCTATATCCCCAAGATGGGTCCCCTGCTCTCTCAGGCCTGTAAATGTTCTTGCAAATATTATTCTTTGTGCCTGTGTGGCTGGACTCAGTAGTCTCTGATGTTTCTCTGTGCATAATGCATCTAAGAGTCTGCGTTCTTTCAAAGATGGGGTGGGGTTACTTACACTGCAGCACCTGCCACCAATCACCACTGCCTGCATCCATCTGCACCCTTGTAGGTGAGAGAAACCCACCACAGTTCCTATTCCATGACTGACACTAAAGCCACTTTTTACATCCTGATGTTTAACCCTGTTTCAGTGAAATATTTGTCCCTTGCCTATTGTCAGAATAAGATTTTAATGTCTCTGGATATATGAGGATGTAGGGATTTAAACCACTGCCAAAATGTTACAAGAACAAAATTACATAATTTGTTGACACATAGCTCTACTGAACGGTTTAGTGAGGTTAAGTTCCATAAATTAATATAATAAAGCAATTTTTCCTAAAGCAAAATCCTGGGATTTTTTCCTTTCAACTTGATAAATAAGAATTTTCATTAATGTATTTTGATTTTAGAAAAAATAGATTTATGTTCTCCTAAGTTGTCTGCCATACCAGAAATGTGCTTGCTTCTCCAACATTCGTGTCTACCCCTCTTTTTTTTGTAGTGCAGGGAGTTGAACCTAGGGCTAAACATGTGCTCTACCACTGAGCTACACCCCTTAGCCCACACTGACTAATTGGTTGACTGGTTGATTTTTTTTTAAAGAAGCATAAAGAGGTACACGAGGCAGAATTTAAAGTACACACTTGAAGTAAGAATGTGGGCCGGCCCTCAAGAGAGAGGCATACTATCACCTGGAGCTGGGGAGCTATGGGGTGCAATCTATGGAATTCGTGAATCTACAGACAGTTTTCAGCAGAGATTTCTTAATCTGTTATTTTTATAGTTATGACCATATCTTATTACCTGATGAGTATTATAATTTTACTATCATAATGAAAGCACATTTTCTCCCTAATATCCAGAAGGCACTATAGTGGATAATAAAGCTGGAATTGTCTTAAAGGATAAAATAGCACAATCCTTTACCTCCAAGGGCAGCTACAGCTATTTGCCCCAGTAATTTAAAAATTCATTATAATACAATCATGTAGAAAAGTCAGTTTTGCTTTAAATTCTTTTGAAAAGCATATTTGTAAGAGAAATACCAATAAACAACACAGCAACCAAAGAAACTGGCATCTGAAAGCCTACTGTGTACCAGGCATTTACATTTTATTTAATTTTCACACCAAATCTGTAATTATCTCCACTTAGTAAATGAAAACACAGTAAGGCTCAGAAATAAAGAACAACCAAAAACATATAGTCATGCAGAACTGGGATTCAAACCCAAGTCTTTCAATTTGGAAACCTGAGCTCTCCCCTCAAGAGACCATTCATAGCCTCATCAGGCTAATTTCTATTTATTTCTAAAGGGTTTTTTTCTTGGTGTTGGGGATTGAACCCTGGGCCCTGAGCATGTCAGGCAAATGCCCTAAAACTCAGCTATATTACCAGCTGAAGGGTACAACATATATATATTTTTTTTTTTCTTTTTTTTTTTTTTTTTGAGAGACAGGATTTCACTCTGTATTCCAGATCAGCCTTGAACTGACTATATAATGCAGGCTGGCCATGAACTCATGGTGATCCTCCTGCCTTAGCCTCCTGAGTGCTGGGATGGGGGAACGTACACCATGCCTGACCCTCAAGGCTATAATTTTAAAAGCACAGCACTGGAGAAAAATCTCATCTCAATAGTAAATAATAAGGTATCTAGCCTAGTCACTTACAAAGTGCTATCAGCAGCATTCTTCCTTGGACCGGGAGAAGGAAGATACAGGTATAGAAGAGGTATGTATGTCAGCAAATAAACATTAGGGTAGGAGACTAACCCAACTTGGACCAATGACAGCAGCAATAATGATAATAATAATGATAACAAACAGACAAGAGCTTATATAGTGTTTATTATGTACCTAGCACCAAGAGCTTACGTTTGTCATTTAATCCTCACAGGAAGATCACCTGTTCTGAGGGAGGTGGAGCAAGATGGCAGCTGGGGAGGATTCTCCAGTAATAGTCACCCCACAGTTACACCAAGTTGAGCAGCTGTTCACCACCCAATTAACTTCACGAGAGGTACAGAAATCAGGTGAAAGACCATACTGCCTGCTTTTAGTACAACAAAATCTCACAGCAGAACTATAAGGCCAGTTCTGTATTATGTCATCCTTTTCATGTAGATGCAAACTAGCATGGAGAGTTTAAGGGTCCTGCCCAAAGTAAATACTAATTCCTGACAAAGCTGGGATTCACACTCGGGCAGCCTGGCTCTGGAGTACATACTCTGAACCACTGCACTAATAATGGACCTGGAGAACCATGAAGAACTGGAAATTTCAATATATCTGTAAGTTAAACAATTTAACTTGAGATTTAAGAAAAGTGACTCTAAATTAACTGATGAAGAAAAGTGACTTTGCACTTTTGCCAAGTAAAAGAAAAGTAAGCCTCCTGATACATTTTGTTAAATGTGAAATTGAAGTGGTTTCAAAATCTGTTTTTCTGAAGACCTTTAAAAATTAAGACAGATTCACATTTGTTTTGTTTTGTTTTCTGGGGTCAAGGTCTTGCTATGTAGTCTGGGCTGGTCTCAAACTCATTATGATCCTCCTTCCTTAGCCTCTCAGGTGCTGGGATTATAGGCATCTGCCATCATGCCCAGCTACAGGGAATTTAGTTGGGGAGGTTCTCTAATAAGGATGTGGGATTAACTATCAGCCTAAAACTGTCCTAATGCAACAAGTTTAAGATTTTTTTCAGTGTGCCCCTAAATTACAAGTGGTCTCTCTGGCACTGAGGTTTTGTGTCATATACTGTATTACATACACACATATACGTGCACGCATGCACACACGTACTGGGCCACCAGGGATGTAAGTCTGTAAGTACAGGAATGTCAGTTCTTACTCTTGTTCCTTCTTTAGTCTGTATCCTTATTAAAAACCTTAACTCGGTCATGACGGAGCCATAATTTATATGTCTTGCTGTAAGATGGCTTGAACAACCAGTAGTATAAGCATGACTGTCCATCCCATCAGGAGGCTTGTACCACTGGTGGTACAAATGGACCTAATCACTTTTATCAGTTTTTTCACTAATAAAGTTAATAAAAAGCTGCCTGATGGAACATTCATGCATGGATAACCAGTGGTTCAAGCCGGTGGGAACACGTTTAAGAGCTCACGGGGCCGGGGATTTAGCTCAGTGGTGCCGCCACCTGCCTCAAAAGAGCAAGGTTCCGAGTTCGATCCCTGGTACCAAGAAAAAAAGAAAAGCTCACAGGGTAGAGGGTTTTCCTAGCTTCAGAACTTTTCTACTTTCTCATAAAAATTAGATGGAGGGAGGAGAGAGGAAATAAAAAGAATTAAAATGTATTGTGCACATGTACCAACTCCCTGTGATGAATCCAATCGCTATTAGCACAAACATGTACTAATAAAAACAGTTTTTTTTGAGACAGCGCCTATGTAGTTCATGCTGGCCTTGAACTCTCTATGTAGCACAGGTGGCCTTCAAACTCACAGCTATCCTCCTGGCTCATACTCTCAAGTGCTGGGATTACAGGTGTACATCACCACACCCAGCTAAAAATTTTTAAAATTGTATTTCTATTTATTTATTTTTTTTTTGGTATTGGGGATCGAACTCGGGACCTTGCGCTTTTGAGGCAGGCAGCGGCACCACTGAGCTAAATCCCCGGCCCTTAAATTGTATTTCTAACCTCATTATGTACACTGTTAAAACTCTCTGGAGTCCTTCATTTGTATCTTTTTAAAAGCAAAATAATTTCTACTTCTTGCCTTTGTTTTATTATTTCTCTTACAGGGAAATATCACATCATCCACAAGAGAACAAAAAGTGAATGAAACTATATTTCCATTCTAGAGTAAAAAATACTGAGTGACAAAAAAACTCAAGTATCATTTATTATTTTTTTGATCCTTAAGAGCAGAATTACCAGAAGAAAGAGAAAAATGATATAATTGCCAAAATACAAAAAAAGATAAACTATGTTTAAATTTTTTCCAAAAATCAACTTACCGAAGTTTTCTTCCTTTGCTGGCTTTCCTATCTACTTTCTTGTGGATTTTGCTTCGTAGCTTCTGGATTGCAAGCCACTGCCTGGGAAATTCACAAGCAATGTTATGCATCATCACTAACAGAAATAGTTATATATATTGACAAATTGGAATTTTTCTCACTAACAACCCTGCAGAAAGAAATCATCAAACTCCTCAAGATGGTCTCGGGCCAAAGTGACTAATCAATTGAAGAGGATTTGTGCAAAGGTAAAACACAAATGGCAGCTGGGAAATTCTACAGCAAATTTGGTTAACAATGCTTCTTAGTATCTGGAGTTGCTGTGACAAGCACTAATCTACCAATCTGCAGAAAAACCCGTCAGCTCGAGTGTAGCTGGGTGGATTTTCTTCTGACGGTTCAGCTGTGCAGCACGTTCTTTAATGGCAACTGCTGGTTGGAAAGAACTTGAGAGTTTTTTCAATCTAATTTTTCCTTTGCTAAAACACAAGTGTTTTTGCCTTGTGCTTTCTAATTTCTGCTCATTTTTAATAATTATCCACCACTAATACTAGTCTTATGGTCATGTATTTTTTTATTTCATCTATAAATATTTCAGTATATGTTGATAAAAGATGAGGACTCCTCCCCTCAATATAATCACAATACCATTATCACACCTACAAAAATAATTCTTTACTATCAAATATTCAGTTGGTTTTCAAATTTCTCAGACTCTCAATTTTATAGTTGGTTGTTTGGATAAGGATCCACACAAGATTCATATATTCTCCAGTCATTTTAGATAAGAAATTAATTTTTCAAATAAGGGATACTGGGCTAAGAAAATCTTCACAAATTGCTCCTGTGAACAAATGTGAAAGAGGAGGAGGAAAAACAGCAGCCACAGCAGCAGCCAGTCATCGTACCTGATTTATACAACAAAAACTCAACATCAGAAGAAAAAAATCTAGGGAAATCCAATTACTGTAATCTTAATATAATCTTAATTACCATAATCTATTTTATTGTAAAGTCAGATAAATGTACAATATAATCATCACTTAAATGCAATTTGCTCTATCACAATAAATTTATGGTGAACAGCCTTCTACGATATTCCAGAGATACACGAAATATCAACATCCTCCCGTAAAATTCAAATAATATTCTGCTCAAATAAAATTATTTCATCAACACAAATTTTTCACTGCTTTCTCAAAATGCTGCTCTGCCCAGAATCCTATTCTGGCACTTGCAGCTTTTGTTTCCTTTCATGCTTTTGCAAATTATGGCTCAGGGCTATTTAAATGTACACTATTCATTAGGTAGCACTCTAAATGCCCTTTTTATTTTCCAACCACAGGATGAAGCATACACACAAGAGCCTTCCTTCACTACTTTACATTCTATCCTGACATCTGGGTAATGCTGCCACGTTCCATTTCTAATTGTGCTGAAGCTTTTACTGCAGGGGGAGGTCTAAATTAGGGCAGACTAACAAAGCAGATTGGACTCCAAGCAAGGAACCTGTTGTACACAGTGCTACACTCTGACAGCTGAGAGCACATGTTGTTTTTGTCCACTGGTGAGCAGACTGATATTGATACAATCACAACCCAAACCTGAGAGCAAAGAGCATAAGAAGACTTTGAAAAACAAACTCTAATACAACACAGGTTTTTCATAATCTCTTTTCATATCATACTTAAGGCAATGCAGACTAAACAATTAGTCACTCTGTCTTTCTAGTTCCTGTTATCCTGCTTAACTTTGATAATTACAGGACCAATCACTGCCTTGGAGGCAGAATTAAGGGGCTCAAAGGGAGAAACTATTATATGATCAATTTGCATGAGTAGAAAAATGTACTGAAATTACCTTCCCATGGCCACCTGATCATTGGGATCCAAGGAGCTGGTCTTCCGTTCTATGAGTTCTCGAAGAAGCTGGGGTAGGGTGGGGAGGTGGGGGGAGAAAAGCAACTGATTTATTTATCATCTCCCAGCACCAACTGACTTTAAAAGGGCACAAAAAGAATTCTGAATAGCACACTGACAGCTCTAAAACTACAATCAATAAAGGACAGCCCAGTGGTAAGAGCATGACTGCATTCCCATTAACCCTTTCATATTTATATATCTTTAAAAGGCAGCCATAGCAAGAGCTGAGAAAAGAAGTCCATTTGGAAGACTTATTGTACTGCAGTTCATTTCAAATGGATCAATGAGTGTGCAACATTCCCTTCATTGTTTTTATGATTAGTTCTGTCCACCCCATTGATACCAATGGAGAATCTTTAAAAGGTCAGGCGGGAAGTGCTGTGTGGCAAAAAGGAACACACATCAGCTTCCCACCAATAGGACAACTGCATGTTTAACTTCGGGTCTACAACCTCCCACAGTCAGGCAGATATTCATCAGAAGGCCCTGACTGTAGATAATTAAGAGGGTAGACTTCATACTCTTGCTTTTCATAGCTGCTACTCTACTACGCAGGGCATCAAGTGACTTAACCAGACAAGACACCAACAAAAGTTTTAAGAAGGACCCAAAAGAAAGTAATCTGTATGAACTACAAGTACAACACAGGAGCCAGTTTCTCATCCTGAACAATAAATTCAAGGGGAACACAGTCTTAAGAATATACATGAAAGGCTGGGGATTTAGGTGCAAGTGGAAGGTCCCGAGTTCGATCCCTGGTACCAAAAAAAAAAAGAATATAAGAATACACACGAAAACTTAAAGTCCTGAGTGAAGAGAAGCAATGGATTTTGCAGTTAAATCTTTTTTTTTTTTTTTTTTACCGGGGATTGAACTCAGGACCTTGCGCTTGCAAGGCAGGTGCAAGAACCACTGAGCTAAATCCCCATCCCTTTGCAGTTAAATATTAAAGGAC